AGCAGCATGAGGCCCAGAGTCACTTTGGGCAATTGTGGTTGGCACGCCATTCCATGCCATGCAGGAGGAGAAGGGAGGCGGCAATCTGGCATTCAAAGGGAGAGCAGGTAATTGACAGGTGGAGGAGGAGGAGGAGCGAACAAGCCTTAAACAAATTCTTGCTGGGCCACCCAGAGACCAAGGACCAGAGGGAAGTTCACCAGCAGCAGAGACTGCAGGCCCCCCTCCCGTCTGCCATTGAGTTTAGGCCAGTGGTCGGCAAACTCATTGGTCAGCAGAGCCAAATAGCAACAGGATAATGACAGAAATTTCTTTGGAGAGCCAAATTTTTAAAACTTAAACTTCTTCTTCTAATGCCACTTCTGCAAAATAGACTCTCCAGGCCGTGGTATTCTGGGGAAGAGCCACACTCAGGGGGCCAAAGAGCCGCATGCGGCTCGAGAGCAGCAGTTTGCTGATCACGGGTTTGGGCTATGATGTGGAGGTGATGTTCCCTTCTCTTTGAGCAGGTTTTCTATCTGAATCCCTTCAGGCAGATAAAGGGGTGGGGGTGGGGGGTCCCCAACGTTTCTTTCTGAGTCTTTCGATTCTTTTTTTTTTTAATAAATTTTATTGATTTTTTACAGAGAGGAAGAGAGAGGGATAGAGAGTTAGAAACATCGATGAGAGAGAATCATCCATCAGCTGCCTCTTGCACACCCCCTACTGGGGATGTGCCCGCAACCAAGGTACATACCCTTAACAGGAACCGAACCCGGGACCTTTCAGTCCACAGGCCAATGCTCTATCCACTGAGCCAAACCAGTTTTGGCAGATCTCAGAGGATTTTAAAACTAAATGTCCTAATTATCATAAATTAGAAATAAAAGAGAGGATATATATTCTCTAATGTTTCTAGGTGTAAATGCTTGGCCAAGATCTCACCAGAGACTTGGTGAAGTAGTTAGATAGAGGCTCTCATCCACTTACACTGAGTAAGGGATGAATTTAAGAGTAAAGGAGAATTAAAGTTGCTTTTTCTTTGTATTTGGCTTATTAAAATAAGGATTACGTATTCCCAAAAAGGAAAGGATTTTCTAAAAAGCTGAACAACTCTTAATAAAATCCCAGAGAAAACAAAGCACAACCTTCCAAAAATGCATTCGCTACCGCATGGCCCTGGGAACTAAGACCCGAGACCACTTCTGTGTGTACCCAGGGTTGCTGCGAGGCGGAGAGCATGCCCGCAGTCTGACCGCGGGCTCTGCAGATTGTCCTGCCAGGCAGGGCTTGCAGCGTCTCTAGGGCAAACCAGACCGCCCAAGCGTGTCCACAGCCGGTGGTGAGGACCTCTGCCTCCGCTCCGACCGCTCCTCCTCCGCGGGCACCCAGCGGACAGAGCACGTTTCCAGGATTACAGGGGACAGAGCCTGGGCAGCTCCGCCCGCCTGAGGGAAAGTGTTTATGATGTGCTCGGTTGTCCCGCATTGTGACTTCTTGATAGTAAATCCTCCTTAAGGATTATCACTCCTAGTGAGGAGAGCCGTTCTTCCAGGAAGCCACAAGGGGGCGTCTGAGACCCGGAATCGGAACATTCACAGGTTTGTGAGAGGTTAACATGAAATGTCTGCAGCTGCAAGCTAAAAAGGATGGGGAAAAAATCATCATTGGGTTGTGCTAAACGGTCTAATCTTTGGCAGCGCCATTCGGTTTTCCAGTATCCACTGTTAGCACTGACAATTTTTGCAAATGACATTTTCAGTCCTCCCAAATAACACGATTTTGATATCATACCAACAACTTTAACATCTTTAGAAATAATAATAACAGCAATAATTCTTCTTGAGAACAGACTTACGTGATGTCTTGCTGTTTTGGGTTCTTTGCAAGTACACACACGTTTTCTCTTCCATCAGTCACACTGCAAAGTGGAATCTTGCTACTTCATTTCCTCAAACCTGCTCCTGCCTTTGTGTAAATGGCCTCGCTGTCCGCCCTGCCACCCAGGCGAGAAACTTGGGACTCACTTCTGGCTTCTCTTGGTCCCCCATCATCCAACCACCCCTGTGACCCCTGACCCCACTCAACAAACCCTTCCTTTGACTCACCTGACTGTGCCACCAGCAGTACCTAGAAAGCCCTATGCCCACATCCTGGCCCACACCGGACCTGACCCAGCTTTGTAATTTTTGAAGGATTAAAGTGATGCCTGCATAGTTGGAGTTCACATCTCAGCGATTCACATTTAGGTCTTTTAAGCCATCTGTGTATGCGCTGCTCGGATGCTGAAACCTCTCATTCTAGTTTCTTAGCATCCCTGGCCCTCCTGCTCTGATCTCAAGTCAGGGAAAGTCCACACTGTTTTCCCTGCCTCCTGCTCTCCTCACACTTTACTCAGCCAGCCTCGAAAGCACAGGCAGGAGCATGGACCTCCTCTGCAGAGTCCTTCAGTAACTTCCAAGTATCTGTCTATATAAAAGCCTAATATGCCTCAGGAGTTTGACCCACCCAGAGTTCAATCACTTGCTATGACATGTGCTGACCACCAGGGGGAAGCAAACAATGAAGGAAGGCCCTATCCTGCAGCTGGGGAAGGGAGGCCTTGGCTGGCAGCCAGCAGCTGCTAGGGACCCTATCCGTGTATGAATTTCATGCACTGGGCATCTTGTCCTTAATAAAGACACGAACTTTTCACTCGGACCTTGGAGGTCTTGCAGAACCTGGCTCCAGATGTATCTCCTCCTTTCCTCTCCCACCAGAAGCCGCTCCAGACACTACAATCCTGACCTCACCGCTGGCCTGTCTCCATTCCCCAGCTCACACTCCTCTCGCACACATTTTTAGCGCCCTCCTTGCGCTGCTTGTTGCCCCTCAAGGCCTGGGATCAAAGGCAGCCTTCCCTAAGGTATGGGCTAGCCCAGGCCTCCACCTCCCTGAACCCCCAGGGCTTGCCAAGCACTGAACGCTTCATGCTTGTGTTTCTGTCCCATGTGTCCTTGTCCAGTATCTCCTACTGGAACCCGGACTCCTGGAGGGCCGGCTATACATCATTTCTTCCCTCCCACCCCTGAACCCAGCATTCACCCAAGCCAGTCCACACTGCAGGCAGGGAAACCAGGTAGCAGGCTGCACGATGTCTCAGTGCAGGGAGACAGCGCCTCCCCAGGCTGGGAGTTGGAACGGAGAAAGGGGGAGGGGATACTCGGAAGCACTCTTTGATTAGTTGGTCTTGAGGGTTCATAGGAGGAGAAGTTGGAGAACACTCCCCGCTCCCAGGCTTGGCGATTCGCTGGTGGGCATCAGGAGGAAAAGGGGCAGAGTTTGGCATAGCTGTGCTTGTGACTGTGATGGGGCAGAGTTTGGCATAGCTGTGCTTGTGAAAAGGGGCAGAGTTTGGCATAGCTGTGCTTGTGACTGCGACACAGGGATGCTGAGCAGGCAGGTAGCTCAGCAGGGAGCCAGAGGCCTGAGCCTGCGGTGGAGATTGGGGTCATCCGTGTGGAGGTCGCATCATAGCCCAGGGCATGCAGGGAGGCCAAGGACAGTGAGCCCTGAGGAGGCAATCATAGAAGGGGTGGCTGGGGAAGACTGAAAGAACGGCCGAGCTTGAGTAACAGTGAGGTATCCTGAACACCAGGGAGAAGAATTTCAGTGAATGACTAGCGCAGCCAGGTGCTGTGAGAAAACTAAGAATGAAGTGCATCCGTCCCAGCCCACTCAACTCATCCTCCCTCTTCCTTCCTCCCTCCCTTCCTTCTTCCCTCCCTCCCTCCCTTCCTTCCTCCCTTTCTCCCCATCCCACTTTTTATTGAATACACTAGAGACCCAGTATACAAAATTTGTGCACTTGGGGGTCCCTCAGCCTGGCCTGCACCCTCTCACAGTCTGGGAGCCCTTGGGAGATGTCCAATTGATGGCTTAAGCCCGCTCCCCTTAGCCTTCAGTCGGACATCCTTAGCGCTGCCCTGGAGGCAGGAGAGGCTCCTGCCACCGCTGTGCACTCGCCAGCCATGAGCCCAGCTTCTGGCTGAGCAGTGCTCCCCCTGTGGGTGCACACTCACCACCAGGGGCAGCTCGTGCATTGAGCATCTGCCCCCCGGAGGTCAGTGTGCATCACAGCAATCATTCATTCTGCTGTTTGGTCGATTTGCATATTAGCCTTTTATTATATGTGATGATTGGGGTGACATTGATTAATAAAATTATATAGGTTTCAGGGGTGCAGTTCCATAATATATCACTGTACACTGTACTGTATGTTCATCACCCCGAGTCAGGTCTCCTTTCACTCTTCTACCTCCCCCCACCCCCTTGCCCTCTGTGAGGTTTGGGTGTTTCCTTCTTAATTATCTTGTCTGATGAGCAGGCACAGCCCCACTCCCCACTGGGGGTTTGATGCAGTGGACGCCAATCAGGCGGTGTTTCCTTTCCCAAGGCACCTTTCACCGGGAAGCAGCCTGCAGGCGGAAGCTCACGCCATGAGTTCCCAGCACACCAGAGCTGGACCCTTATCCTTCATCTTTCTGGCCACCTGTGCTTCTATCGCCTCCTTTATCAATTAAAAAAAAAAAATGGGGGGGTGGGGGGATAGAAACAGACATTTGGCTTTTGAACTGGATGCCAAAGAGGGTGGCAGGAACCTAAGGGTTGGAACTCCAGGGTGAGGATGAGAGTGGGGTGGGTATCAAATAATAGAAAAACACCAGGGGAGTGGCCTTATTTTATTCTCCGGGCCATGATGCCGCGTTAATGGGTGCTTTGCAAAGCTTAAGGTCTCAGACGCAGAGGGGGAGATGAAGTAGAAGGAGGAGGAGGAGGAGGAGGAGGAGGAGGAGGAGGAGGAGGAGGAGGAAGAGACTCTAAAGGTGAGCTTGGCCTCCTCCATCTTGGCCATGGACCTCCCTCCTCGGCCTCTGAAATTTTCAATCTTGGCCCAGTTCCAGCTTCCATGTGCTCCCCCCTCTTGCCTGGCCAGGCCCCGGAGGCCACGTGCCCAGGCTCCTGACTCTGTCTACCCGCACCTAGGGGTCCCCCGCCCGAGCCTCAATGGACACAGTGACCCTCACAGAGCCGCAGCTCGACTTCAGCTCCCACCCCTGAGTGGCGTTGAGCGTCATTCCCGGGGAGTCCGAGCCCTGCCTGGGGGACAGCTGGATGTTCAGCCAGCGACACTGGGCGACGTCACACGCCAGCACCACGGTGCCCTCGGGGTTGCTGTAGGTGCAGCGGCTCCGGGCCGCCCTGTCCTCGGCAGCCAGCTCCCAGCCGTCCCCGGGCTCCCGGTGCTCCGGCCCCGGGGCCTGGTAGCCCACGCGGTCTCGGGCGACCGGGCACACCAGCTGCTCCTCCTGCAAGGCGGGCACCACCTGGCCCTTCAGGTAGGCGGGGCCCGCGCAGTAGGTCTGGATGTTGAGGAGCCTGTCGCTGTACTGGCGCAGCCAGCCGGAGAGGTAGGCCAGGCGGCAGTCGCACTGCCAGGGGTTGCCGTGCAGGGCCAGGTTGAACAGGTTGTAGTTGGTGTCGAAGATGCCCTGCGGGAGCGTGGCCAGCTGGTTCCTGGACAGGCTGAGCAGCTCGAGCTTGGTCAGGTTCCAGAAGAGGCCGGGCTGCAGCTCGCTCAGGTTGTTGCTGCCCAGGTACAGGTTGACCAGCTCGGCCAGGCCCCCGAAGACGCCGGCCGGCAGGTGGGTGAGGGCGTTGTGGGAGAGCGTCAGCGAGCTGAGGTTGGACAGCCCGGCGAATGCGCCCTCCGGGACGGTGCCCAGCTGGTTGTGGGACAGGGACAGGCCGGCCAGGCCCGAGCAGCGGGCGAAGAGGCCGACGGGAAGCGCCCGCAGCGCGTTGCCCTGCAGGTTCAGGAAGGTCAGGCTGCCCAGCGAGGAGAAGACGGAGGGCGGCAGGTGGCCCAGGGCGTTGCGCTGCAGCCACAGCTTCTCCAGGCGGCGGAGCGGGGCGAACACGGTGGCGGGCAGCTCCGAGAGGGAGTTGCTGTCCAGGAAGAGCTCCCGCAGGCTGCCCAGGCCGGCGAACAGGTTGGGAGACAGGCGGGCGAGCTTGTTGTTGCTCAGCCTCAGCGTCTGCAGGCCGCCCAGGGGCGCAAACAGCTCCTCGGGCAGCCGGGCCAGCAGGTTCTGGGCCAGGTTGAGGCTCTCCAGGCGCGCCAGGGGCTGAAAGAGCCGGGCAGGCAGGTTCTGCAGCCGGTTGCCCTGTAGCTGGAGGGACCCCAGGGCGCCCAGGTGGCGGAAGAGGTCCCCGGGCAGCGCCTCCAGCTGGTTGAAGTTGAGGGTGAGCTTGCCCAGCGAGGTCAGGTTGGAGAAGAGGTCGGGGTCGAGGCTGGCGAAGGCGCTGCCGGTGAGCTCCAGGTCCCGGAGCGCGGGCAGGCCCCCGAAGGCGTCGGGCTCCAGGCGGGAGAGCCGGGTGTTGAGGAAGACCACCTTGCTGAGGTTGGGGCTGCCGGCGAAGGCCCTGGCGCCCACCGCGGTGAAGGCCGTCTCCACAAAGACGATGTGGGTGGCACGGGGCGGGATGTCGGGCGGGACGGCGGCCAGCGCCTCGTCGGAGCAGAACACCTCCCAGCGGAAGCAGTCGCAGCCCTCGGGGCAGGGCCGGGCCGGCCTGGCCAGGAGCAGGAGGCAGGCCCAGGGCAGCCAGGCGCCGGCAAGCATCTCCTAGACCCGGCGGGACGAGAAGAGGGAAGCGGTGTCCCTGAGCCGGGCTGTGCGCCTCGGTGACCATTGAGGGGGACAGGAGGCCAGGAAATGGGGATCAGCTGTCCGGGAGGCCAGCCATTGGGACAGCAGTTTTTTTTGGGGGGGGGGCTGTTTAAAGAACTCGTGTATTTATTTATTTTTACTTTCTGTTAACCCTCACCAGAGGATATTTTTCCATTGCCTTAGAGAGCGTGGAAGGGAGAGGGAGAGGCAGAGAGCGAAACATCCGTGTGAGAGGCACATCAGTGGGTTGCCTCCTGCACGAGCCAGCACGGAGCCTGCCCTTAACCAGAATCAAAGGTCGCCGGTTTGCTCTGACCACTGAGCAAACCAGCTAGGGCCAGTTTATGCTTTTATTGGTTTTCATACTACCTCGTGGCAGCCTTGCAAGGTCGGCAGGACCAGAGTTCTCGCCTCCCGACGGCGAGACAGTCACATGGCCTGCCCACAGCCGCCCTGCAGGCTGGCAGCGGGCCTAGCGCCCCGGCCTCCTGGACTCCCGTGTTTGCTCCAGATTGGAGGAAAGGCCAGAAAGGCGTGGAAGAAAGGAATAAAAGACCACATGCATTTGGGGAATTTTTAAGATAATGTGTAAAATATGGGCAGATTTATTCCTAAATAGGAAATTTTTAAAGCATGCTCCTCCTGCATTTCCAAATCTCAGCACATTCCAGAGCCTCGTTATGGAGAGAGCTTACCATCTGCTCTCTGTGCGTCTGCTGAGAGTGACGGCAGCCTCGGCACAGGAGGGCTCTTGAGACATCAATGGGTTGCCTCCTGCACCAGGCAACCAACATGGAGTCTGCCCTTGACCAGAATCAAAGTACTGCCGCTGAAATGCTTCCCTCCAGCCCCTGATAACACAACCCCGCCAGTAGGGGGCCGTGGAACTCCCCACAGCCAGCCAGCAGACAGGAGGTCCCAGCTGCAGGGGTTTCACTGACCAGTAGGTTTTGTTTTAAATAAGGGAAGGGGATCAGGGCTGGGAGGAAAGAGGCAATTTCTGGGCTGGGAGGAAAGAGGCAGAAAAAGTGCTGAAGTCACAAACTTCTATGCATGAAGTCCTTTCTATGCATGAACCATTAGGCCAACATGTAGAAACAGAGAAGTATCACATTAAAACTTCAGATTTCAGGTGCTGGCTTGTATGGCTCAGTTGGTTGAGCATCATCCCATGCACTGAGAGGTCATGGCTGGCTTCCTGATTAGGGCTTATGCCCAGGTTGCAGGCTCAGTCCCCCAGAAGGGGTTGTGCAGGAGGCAGCCGATCGATGTTTCTCTCTCCCTTTCCCTTCCTCTCTCTCGAAAACATATTTAAATTTTTAAAAATAGTCCATATTTCCAGACGATTTAGGGGCAATGGACTCACATTCCTATGAAACCAGACCATCTGGGCTCAGTTGCCTCACTAGCGGGAGCACACCTCCCAGGTTAGGGCTGCTCCCGCCCACACTGTGATCTACATGGCTCGTAGTGGTTTAGATTCCATTAACTAGAATTCCAGCTCTACCGAGTACCAGCTATCTGACCTTGGGCTTGTTACTTAATCCGTCTAAGCTTCAATTTTTTTTATCTGTAAAATGGAGATAATAATAGTGTCTCTGGTGTTAGGGTAATTGGGGATTAAATGAATAAATACAAGTAAAGTTTTTAGATCAGCATCTGAGATAGAGCAATTAACAAACCATGTAAGTTGTTGTTGAATGTTGCAAGTCACCATCATTACAGAAAAAAATTATCTGAACACCAAAAAAAGTAGGAAAAACAAAATGCCTTTCAGATAAAATACATTTGGAAGGAAGGGAGGGACAGAGGAGGGAAGAAAGAAGGGGAGAAAGGAAGGAAGGAAGGAAAGGAGGGAGGAAGGGGCACTCCCGCTTCCCCTGGTCTGTGTTTCTGACTCTAATCTACTGTCATCCTATATAATAAAGAACTAACATGCTCATTAGACCAGACAGTGGGGTGACCTTCTGGAATTATCTTCCGGAATGATCTTCGGGAAGGACCAGTGAAGGTGGGGGGGGGGGGGGGGGGAGTGGGCTCGGGGCCTTGAGGCAGCCAGGGCTGAGGGCAAGCTCCTTGCATGAATTTCGTGCACCAGACCTCTAGTTTGGAAATCTAAGCCTTAGGGTTTTCCAACAAAGGCAGTAACTTGAGATGCAGGACTTGATCTTTTTTATCACGTGTAGACAAATCCGCTTCGGCTCAGGCAAAAGTGGGTGAGGGAGGTAAGGGGGGCCTCTCTGATGTGGGGGCCAGAGCTCAGGTGGCTGTTCCACCTTCTAGCTCCCAAAGCTCCCACACATACATCTCAATGTCCAGAGCAAATCTTGAAGGACCCAGAACGGGGAAACTGGGGTCCCAGAGCCAGGGCAACTAGCTCAAGGACACGCGGTGAAGAAGGAAGGGGCCAGGGTCAGCCTGATGGCCTGCATGCTAAGCAAGGTGCTCGCTGTGACACCCTCGGCATGGCTTCCACACCACGGCAGTGGCTGGGCGGGGGTGCACATGCCTGCTCCTCACATTTGCAGAACCCATAATGAGAGTGTGCAAGGACCCTCGCCTACAGTCTGCCCGCTTCTCTCCCCCCCTGACTCTCTCCAGTGCCGTGAGTAGAGACCTCTTATTCACTCTGACATGGTTGGCTGGGGAGGCAATCCACAGGAGCCCTGGGTACTTAAAACAGGCTTTAAAATGGGGCACAGCCTCTAACGGGTGTGTCCCTCTGATCTTACACACTTCTCAGCCCTGGGCTTGTTACTTAATCCGTCATGGTGGGAGGAGGGCAGACAGGGCCTCTGAAATGTAGGCCAGACAACCCCTTGCCCCAGTCAACTGGGGTGAGGGTGGGTGGGTGGTGGCAGGGGATGGTACTCACCATGGGGAACACTGATTATTTCCAGAGGGGCCATGCCTAACCCTTCTCACACCACTCTAGAGTGGCTAACGGTCTGAGCTCTGGAGCCAGTCCGGATTCACATCTTGTCTCCACTTCTCCTGAGCTCTGTGGCCTTAACTAAATTGCCTAACCTCCCTGTGCTTCAATGCTCTCATCTTTAAAACAATGAGCTTCACTACTACCTCCCTCGTGGGGCTGTTCTGAGGCCTGAAGGAGAGAATGCACTGGAAGCCCAGACCCAGAGCCGGCACAGTGCACACACTCTGGTGCCGCCGCCGAAAGGGCTGTTTGCTGAGAAGGTCTGAAGGCGCTCATTCGAAAACGCGTCTGTTCTTTTTTCACTTAACGAGGTGCTGTGGGTTCCTGGACTTTTCCTTCTACCGAATCACAGCCTCACACGGCTCGGGAGCCGAGGGTCTGTTGTTCACAAATGTCTGGAGGACCTGCTCTGCGCGCGCCATGTGGTCAGCGATGGTTTCTGTCATGCCCGGAACATCTCGGTATCTGTCCAGAGCAGCAGCAGTCACCCTGACTCCCCGCCAGCCCCAGCTGTTCTGAAGGAGTCACAGAGGCTGGCCATGGAATAACGGGTGAGATCACTCAGCCACCTCATTTATGGGCCAGCGAGGTTTGTGACTTCAGCACTTTTTCTGCCTCTTTCCTCCCAGCCCAGAAAAGGGTGTAATGGCTTTGTCCTTGGTTTAGTCGAGCACAGATTCTATCAGCTCTGGCCAGGATGCCCGGGGACTTGGACCCCTTCCCCACCCCGCCCTCAAGAGCAGGTCCCTGGGGGGCCCTAGAGGAAGGAAGTGCCCCTGCCTGGGCACTGTGGAGGCTGGCCCCGAGGGGACAGTGGGGCAGCAGCCAGAAGATCCCTGCTCCCCATCTGAAAAACCACCTCTGCACTTATGTACAGACTAGAAACGGCCACAAAAATGTTCCATGCTCTCAGCAAGCCTGGTTTTAGGGGTGGTGGTGGAGATTACTGGTTGCAAATGAACTCTTTCCTCTTCTCAAATTGCTTTTGGGTTGGCACATGTGTGGGTGTGCCACAAGCCAGTCTGTCATCCACCACAGAGCTGCCCTCACTGCTCCCCGAGGGTGACGGGAGCCCAGAGCCCCCGGCTGCCTGGCCCAGCTCCCCGGGGACAGGCCTGCTGTTCCCGGCTCTCAGTCTCCTTCCCTCAACCCAGGGAAATAAGCCACGTGGCTGAGGCAGTCAGACCTGCATGGACTCCTGCCTCTGTCTCTCCCCAGCCAGCCGGCCCTCCCCAACCTGCTGCAAAGTGTGTCTCAGGCAGTGAAATGGGCCTTTGTAAATTGAGAGCAATCACCATCATAATGCTACTACCTAAATTACAGGGCTGTTAGGCTTACTGTGGTAATTAAGTGAGATAACAAGCAGATTTCTCACCCCTCGGGGTGTCATAGCATTGGGTGGGTGGTGTTGTGATATAATCAGAGATATATCTTTGGCCTTCTTCCCGGGTCCTGGCACAGAGCTCCGAGTACCCTGGGAGTTTCCTGGGTGATGAGGGAGCATCTTGTGTTACTCACAATGAGCCCCTCGCAGCCACACCTGAGTTTATGCCAATGAAGTGACTCGGAGGGACCCTCCACAGCTTCAGATTATGCCCAAAACCTTTGCCCTGTTTAGCTCTGATTGTGGGTGACTTACTTATTATTTTTTTTAATTTTGCTTAATCCTATACTTTCTACATTTTTTAAGTAATGAGGTGGAAAGTTATTATAAAAATTGAGATGATTGTGCAAAATGCACAGCACAGTGCCAGGCCCATTTTAGGGGCTTCCTTGATTTTTTTCCCCCTTCCTCAAAGTTACAATGCAAAAGGCTCGGTGGAGCTCATCCATCAGCTCCTGAAGGGAGGACAGCTAGCATTCTGAAATGAAAGGTTGTGAGCCAGGCACCATCCTCTCTTCCAATGCTCCCCGCAGAGCCCAGCTCCAGCCCTCGCTTCCCAGACCTTCCCTTCCCACTCCAGAACATGTGCCTCCCTCTCTCTCCCTGCTGCTGTCTGCCCCCATTCCACCTACC